GGGGCCTTGGCTTAAAAGCCCAAATGTGTGCATGTCTCTCTCTCTCTCTTTCTCTCTCTCTCTCTCTCTCTCACACACACATACACTCATGTGCTTTAGAAACTGGCCTGCTGTCCCCAGGCATGGTGGAGGATGCTGGTCACCCCAGGACCTAAGTAAAATTCAGTGAGCAGCTGGGTCGGCTGCTGGAGAGGAGCGGAAGGCACGTGAGTTCTTCCTGTCCAATTTGATTATCAGAACCATCCCTGACATCAGATGCGTTGTGTTTATGATCCAGAGGGGGTTTTCTTCTCGTCAGAAATGTTCTTTTCCCCCCTTGATTTCATTCATTCTTCACCAAGAACGAATAAATGCCGATTCCAATTCTTCAAACCATAAGTAATTTATGTACAACTTTGGGTTTTCTGCAGCATCTCTTCCACATTTCCTTTTACTTGCATGTAAGAAAAGCAGTTCTCTAGCCCCAGACGACAGACAGTTTTTATTGTCTGTTCCCAAAGCTAAACTTTACACATATATAAAATTATATCAGCAGAAAAGAAATCAGATACCTATTATTAGGCCAAACATATTTTCAAAATAAGGAAAATGTACCCTACCTAGCAACAGGAAAAGGTAGGTCAGGTTGATCCTTGCTCCCTTCATTTCTTCTTAACAAGAGAACAGGCTTTAATGTAATTCCAGATCTTGATGTAAAGTCGTTATGCTTTCATTGTGGATTATGAGAGTTCTAGTCCAGTACACCCTGAAAGCACCAGGTTGGGAATGGATGTTGTAAAATTTAGTATGAATTCACAAATATTTTCAGGAAAATAGGGTTATCCTTCTCTGTGGCACTCCTAGCATGTAAAGGGATGTTATACATGATGTACATTATAATAATATGATTATAATACCCATATATACAAACTGGCCTGAGGTAGTCTTGCGAATTGATTTTTACTGATGGTAGATAAATAAGTGTACTGCCAAATGTCACACAGTTCTAGAAACATGGAGATTCACAGATTAGCATTACAATTTATTCCTTTCTTTTGGGTAAGGCAATATTAATCTAATAATTGCCTTTCAACTGGAAAAGTATATTCAAAATAACTTATTCCATACTACTTGACCAGTTATAAATCTTAAAGTATTAAAACAAAATAGTATCTGAAGAAGGATGAAATACTTAAAAAGTATTCAGTGAATCATCAGGAATGCTTATAAGAAAAAATAGTTTAGTAGCCAATTAGATCATCTAGTAACCTGCTATGCTATAAAAGTCTATGAAAGAGGCTAAAAAAAGGAAAAAGGAAAAAGGAAAGAAAACATGAATAAAACATAGAAGCTATATCAATACTGTACATTGGAAAACACTGAGAATTTTCCCTCCTACTTTCTCTATAAAATGAAACATGAGATACAAACAATACCATAAGAATACAGTGTAATTAACTGCTCCGTCTGTTCCAAGCCTGTCTACACATAGCAAAGGATACTTCCTAAGTGTGTGTAAAACATTTCAAATTTGAACCACTTTAAATAAAAATACACAGGTATCTTTATGTATTTTCACATTGCAAAGTACATTCCGCATCCCACCCCACCCCCTGGATGCAGGTCTATATCTGTTTTTTAGTTACTAACTTTTCTTGGACCAACCTTGAGCTGCCAGAAGCCATGGCCTGGTACAACTTTCTGTCGTCTGGACAGGCTGGTGGCCACTGCACAGCCTTTTTACAACCATAGGCATATCGTCTAACACAAGCTGCTGCATTCTGTAAATGTGGAATTTCATAGCTGGGGAGCCACCAAGGAGAACCTGGAATCAATACTGACTGATCAACCATACCTGGAAAAGATGCCACTATTCAGTGTGGACAGATGGGCAGTCATCAGCTGAATGAAGAGACATGGAGAAAAATATCTGTATAGCCTGGGCAGGAGTGCCCTTTCAGAGGTGGATTACAAATCAGTTCAATATCCTGGTTTCCTTTATGCCATCAGCTGCCACATCAGTTATTTGTTATGAAATAGACAATGGATGAGTCCATATGTTTGTTTACTGCAAAAAGAACCATGGTTTGAATCCTCAGCAACATTAATCAAATAAGCCTTATGTTATTGTTCCTTAAATGATGTATTTCATTCTCTACCATTTCTCTTTCTTTATATATTCGCTACATAAGGGGTAGCCTTTAATTTAAAACAGCTTGTTTAGTCAAGCAGAAGGATTCTAGTGAGAAGCAACGGAACCATTAAAGTACTCAATCTGTTGATTTCTTTTTTACATATTTGTAACCATTTTTCAGAAAGTCAGCGTGGTCAAAGAAATCATACAAATCTAACACTCCTAAATAATAATAATGATAGGAACAAAAACAACAGCAACATCACAACACAAGATGAAGACCCCAAACTAGCAAATGCTTGCTAAGAAAATAATTTGCATTTAGGAAGGCTGTTAACATCAGTTATTCTGAGTAAATGTTCACACGATTGTTGTTTTAAATAGGATACTACGTTGTTTACATTTACTGTACTGAATTACATTTCTATCCCCAGGTTTTCTTTCAGAAAGTTCAAGGCAGTAAACATACTTCTCACCCACCCATTCTCACAACAATCCTTCAATGCTGCATAATCTGAGATTAATGGTCCTAAAATCTCCAAATGAGTCATGTGAATGAATGCAGAATTGAACTGGAGTCTTTCCTGTTCTAGACTGATATTCAAAACACGATCATACACTGGCTTTGTACACAGCCCAGATCTCTCAGCCTTGGCTGGTGATGTCCAAACTCAAGCACCGGGAATGTGTGTTGCAAAGAGCTAAATTCAAGCCAGGCACTAACAAGTGAGTAATGCTCATGATACTGAATAGAAGTCAGAGATGTGGTACCGTGTTCCAAGTCACTGGGAAATCATTGGCAGGTAAATTCTGCTGTTTCCTTTGCCGCACAAGGCCGACGATACTATGCAGTCTAAATGGAACAGATTTCAATACAAGCTGCCCTACTATTATCTAGCTCTGGACAATTGAAAACAAAGAGGACTTCCAAATAACCTATGATGCAATTATATTTCTCACTCTTCAGGGCCTAATTTGATGCCTCCCTAATTATTTAGCAGAGACACAAAAACGCAGTTAATGTATTTGCATGAAATCATCACCTGCAAGCAGGAGAGCATCTAGATAATCTGCCTTCTCCAAAGGAGTCCTTTCTGGCTTTATATATTTTAACATTATCAGTTGATATTGTCTGTTCATGACCTGTTTTCTTATTAAAACATTAAAATGTTTACAATGGATTGCTATATTATATTTTGGGATATATGTTTCTGTTCTTGCTAGTTGGGCACATTTACATGGTAAAGTAATATACCCAAATTAAAATTAAAATAGTAATAATTTCATTTCAGATTGGGAAGGATCTAAAGCAGATCTCTTTAGTATTTAGTGATGTGATTTTTGAAGGCCCAGCCCAAATAACATTTTGAAATTATTGCTGGAAGTATAGTCACTGTATGTATTCTTCTATTTCTCCTGTGGTCATTACTGCTTAGAGCTAATCTGGTTCTCTGCATCAATCATGAGCAAAATGGGATTAAGATCAAAAGTGGATGCAGGAGTTCATCCATTTGCAGGAAAGACAATTATATTCATCTTCCTGAACACCAAGTGGATCTTACTGAATGCAACATCCTTGTATGCTTGATAGCAACCTTTCTTTATGGAATATCAAATAGAACGCATTGGCAAAATGAATAATTGCTTCATTGCAAGAATGGGTATTGTACAAATATATTGGTATGTACAAATATGGGCATGGTACAAAACATGGGTGTATAAAGAAACCACTCATATTTATTTTTCTTTCTGTCAAAAGGAATTGGTTGGGCAAAAACACAACCCCCTTGTCTGTTTCTCAATCCTTTTACAAATACGTTTGTTGTAGTTGGGCAGACAGACAGGAGAAAAATCTGTGGAGGAAGGGCAGAAAGTCCTTTTGATTGTTCAATTTCTGACCAACCAAGATCTAAACTTCACTGGAATGTCCTCTCTTGATGGGACAAAATATAATGAGATACAGCTCAGGATGCTAAGGATAATATAATTGTTGAGAACCCATTCCCAAAGCATTTTCATTTTGTTATCTACAGTGAGGGCTTGGTACTGATTGGAAAGGACCTGGAATGTGCATTTACTTAGGAGCTGTGAGCCCCACATCCTCCCTTGGTTTATCAGCATGTGCCCAATGGTAAAGAAGGGAGACTCTCAGCAGTTAATCTACACAGCTGGGTTACTGAGAGTCTTTCTTTCAAGAGGAAATACACTTTCTCCTGAATATATATTTCATTATTTTCCTTTGCGGCTTGAAATTAAGCAGAGGGTGGGATCTGTCAGAGCTCAGAACAGTCAGTTCAAAAACATACATCCACTGGTTGTCACTGGGCTTTTAAATATTAAGCATTAGCATTTTGTTAATTTCCTTTCTTTTTCTCTTACCTCAGTTGTTCTTGCCCCAATTGTCCCTTTTCCTGGTCTTGAATAACGCCATTACCCCCACCCCACCCTCAGAAAAACAGACTCTTGTTTTACACAAGTGTTTTGGCAGCAACAGTCCCAAACTGGATCCTTGACTCACAAACAAGCAATTACAAATTGCTCCATTACCCCTAGGACAGTGTTTCTCAACCTTGGCCACTTTAAGAAGTATGGATTTCAACTCCCAGAATTCCCCAGCCAGCATGGGGAATTCTGGGAGTTGAAGTCCATACTTCTTAAAGTAGCCAAGGTTGAGAAACACTGCCCTAGGATATGCCCAAATTACCCCTTGGGGTAATTATCTCCACTTTGAGAACCACTGTCTTTTTCTCATAACTTTCTTGCTCTTTTTTTGAGTTTTCTATAACATTGCCTGCCTCAAAATGAAATAGTATGATGGGAATGATCTGAACATTAGCACTCAGTGCAAAGCTAAGTGGAGGGCAATGCATTAACCTTGGTTATTACAGGCAGGCCTATTTCATAAGTCTGACTCGGTTTTAGAGAGTTCAGTTTATTAAAAAAAATTACTGAAGGAAAAAGAAGATTTTGGATTGCCAGATATCTTCTGTTTAAAGGGCATCCCTTTTCCAGAATAGTCTTAAAGTTGGCTGCACTCCTAAATTTCTTTTGTGGTTCATAGTTGGTTGGCCCTGTACCCATTCTACACAAATGTTATATTGAATAAGGAATTGGTGTCTGTCTGTCTGTCTGTCTGTCTGTCTGTCTGTCTGTCTGTCTGTCTGTCTGTCTGTCTGTCTGTCTGTCTGTCTGTCTGTCTGTCTGTCTGTCTGTCTGTCTGTCTGTCTGTCTGTCTGTCTGTCTGTCTGTCTATCTATCTATCTAGTCTATATCTATCATATTTGTTTAGCATTCCTTTCTAATCCACTTTTTTATTCTAGCAAGTACTCAAGATAGCTATTCAAAAAAGGATATGATGAATTAACACCTCATTCAGAATGGGCATTTCTGCAGAATGTCTCCAATAGCTGTGCAGTCCCAGTTGTAAAATTATAAAATGAAAATGCTTGGGGAATTATACCATGGGTTCCATACTCTTCAGCTCATTGACTACCTCATGAAATTTCACATAGTTCATTGACCCCCCAAACATTTACTATATGAAAAGTAATAAATACTACTTTAAGAGTGCCATGAATAATAATAATAATAATAATAATAATAATAATAATAATTTTATTTATTTATTATTTT